GGAATACGTTTCAAAACAGCAACAAGGTGCGGTGAGAGATTAAATGGGTGGAAACCATTTCCCTGTCAATCAACAGTGTTGTTCTCAGGACAAACAGCCAAACAACACAGTTGCTAATTACATTACCCGCCCCCCACCCAGCCTCATTCCTGGGAAGGCAAGCGTGTCAGACATGTAGGTAGGGGAATGTCCTAACAAGGTTAAAACATTTTTGGTCTTGATGAAGGGTGACTGCGTCCAAAAGCTTGCTAAGAACTTTTTTCCAACTACTCAGTTGGTCTAATAAAAGATATCACACCTACCCAAAGAACCTTGCCTGGCTGTCTCTATTTTATTAACAGATAAATGAAAACCACTGCCAGAGCCAGGGCACCACCTACACAATTCCCTATTGGCATGCACCTCATGCAGTCACTTACTTACCCAAAGGGGAGGTAAATGGTAGGGCTGTGCGAAGCTTCAGCTGGTGATTCAATTCGGAGATTTGGCCCGATTCGGTGGTCAAATCTCCAAATCCGAATTGAATCAGGGGACCAATTTAAAGGTCCGAATCAATTCAAAGCTCTCCGAATCTTCGTGGGGGATGGGGAGGGGACCATGGAGGAACCCCTGCCAGCCCATCCAGCCCCACCCGTTCCCCCAGCCCCCACATGGCTGCCCCGCCTCCCCCAGCTTCCGGCCCTTTAAAGAAAAGCTCTGGTGCTCACTGGGTGCTGCCAGGCAGGAGGGTGATCCCTGCTTCCCCGCCCTGCGCCACGCTACATGGGGGGGCTGCGCATGAGCCCCCTGCCCTCCCCACTCCCCTAGCCCCCACATGGCTGCCCTGCCTGAGTCAGCTCCAGCCTTTTAAGAAAAAAACCAAGACAAGCCCTGGGACTGCAAGCCGAGCTCCTGCAGCAGCCTCGGGGCTTTGGGGACTTGTGCAGAGCCCACCGCAGGGCAGCGGGGATCACCCCCCACTGGCAGCAGTGGGGCTTTTCGCTCTTTTTTTTCTTAAAGAGCCGGAGCTGGCCCAGGCGGGGACCCGTGGAGGGGCTGGGGGAGCGAAGGGGAAGGTCGGCGGGTTTGTGCAGAGCTCCCCATGCAGCATGGGGCAGTGGGGGGGCAGCGGGGATCACCTCCCGCCCGGCAGCACCCACTGAGCTGGGACTTTTTTTTCCAAAGAGCTGGGAGCTAGGGCAGCCATTGCCAGGCTGGGAGGGATGGGCCTGGCCTGCATGATTCCGAGATTTGGAGGGTCAGCAGGAGAG